CAAGACTAACTTCAATCTTCTTCCCTGGCAACAACGAACTCACACTAAAACGCCACTTTCTTGCGTACAGCGTCACACACTCACTCGTTCAATATACGGCCGCACCATCAATCATGCGCACCCATCCCCCTAGTCAAACATGCGTCATAACACGTGGTGTAGTGACAAGTAAGAGGGGACGGTGTAGTGACAAGTACGTGGGAACGGTGTAGTGACAAGTACGTGGTGTAGTGACAAGTACGTGGGGACGGTGTAGTGACAAGTACGTGGGGACGGTGTAGTGACAAGTACGTGAGGACGTTGTAGTGACAAGTACGTGGGGACGGTGTAGTGACAAGTACGTGGTGTAGTGACAAGTACGTGGGGACGGTGTAGTGACAAGTACGTGGTGTAGTGACAAGTACGTGGGGACGGTGTAGTGACAAGTACGTGGTGTAGTGACAAGTACGTGGGGACGGTGTAGTGACAAGTACGTGGGGACGCTGTAGTGACAAGTACGTGGTGTAGTGACAAGTACGTGGGGACGGTGTAGTGACAAGTACGTGGGGACGGTGTAGTGACAAGTACGTGGGGACGGTGTAGTGACAAGTACGTGGTGTAGTGACAAGTACGTGGGGACGGTGTAGTGACAAGTGGGGACGGTGTAGTGACAAGTACGTGGGGACGCTGTAGTGACAAGTACGTGGTGTAGTGACAAGTACGTGGGGACGGTGTAGTGACAAGTGGGGACGGTGTAGTGACAAGTGGGGACGGTGTAGTGACAAGTACGTGGGGACGGTGTAGTGACAAGTACGTGGGGACGCTGTAGTGACAAGTACGTGGTGTAGTGACAAGTACGTGAGGACGGTGTAGTGACAAGTACGTGGGGACGGTGTAGTGACAAGTACGTGGTGTAGTGACAAGTACGTGGGGACGGTTTAGTGACAAGTACGTGGTGTAGTGACAGTACGTGGGGACGGTGTAGTGACAAGTAAGTGGGGACGGTGTAGTGACAAGTACGTGGGGACGGTGTAGTGACAAGTACGTGGTGTAGTGACAAGTACGTGGGGACGGTGTAGTGACAAGTACGTGGTGTAGTGACAAGTACGTGGTGTAGTGACAAGTACGTGGTGTAGTGACAAGTACGTGGTGTAGTGACATGTACGTGGAAACGGTGTAGTGACAAGTACGTGATGTAGTGACAAGTACGTGGTGTAGTGACAAGTACGTGGGGTCGGTGTAGTGACAAGTACGTGGTGTAGTGACAAGTACGTGTTGTAGTGAAAAGTACGTGGGGACGGTGTAGTGACAAGTACGTGGTGTAGTGACAAGTACGTGGTGTATTGACAAGCACGTGGTGTAGTGACAAGTACGTGGGGACGGTGTAGTGACAAGTACGTGGGGACGGTGTAGTGACAATTACGTGGTGTAGTGACAAGTACGTGGTGTAGTGACAAGTACGTGGTGTAGTGACAAGTACGTGGTGTAGTGACAAGTACGTGGGGACGGTGTAGTGACAAGTGGGGACGGTGTAGTGACAAGTACGTGGGGACGGTGTAGTGACAAGTACGTGGTGTAGTGACAAGTGGGGACGGTGTAGTGACAAGTGGGGACGGTGTAGTGACAAGTACGTGGGGACGGTGTAGTGACAATTACGTGGTGTAGTGACAAGTACGTGGGGACGGTGTAGTGACAAGTACGTGGTGTAGTGACAAGTACGTGGGGACGGTGTAGTGACAAGTACGTGGTGTAGTGACAAGTACGTGGGGACGGTGTAGTGACAAGTACGTGGGGACGGTGTAGTGACAAGTACGTGGTGTAGTGACAATTACGTGGTGTAGTGACAAGTACGTGGGGACGGTGTAGTGACAAGTACGTGGGGACGGTGTAGTCACAAGTACGTGGTGTAGTGACAAGTACGTGGGGACGGTGTAGTGACAAGTACGTGGTGTAGTGACAAGTACGTGGGGACGGTGTAGTGACAAGTACGTGGTGTAGTGACAAGTACGTGGGGACGGTGTAGTGACAAGTACGTGGTGTAGTGACAAGTACGTGGTGTAGTGACAAGTACGTGGGGACGGTGTAGTGACAAGTACGTGGTGTAGTGACAAGTACGTGGGGACTTTGTAGTGACAAGTACGTGGTGTAGTGACAATTACGTGGTGTGTAGTAACACTTACGTGGGGACGGTGTAGTGACAAGTACGTGGTGTAGTGACAAGTACGTGGCGTAGTGACAAGTACGTGGTGTAGTGACAAGTACGTGGTGTAGTGACAAGTACGTGGGGACGGTGTAGTGACAAGTGGGGACGGTGTAGTGACAAGTACGTGGGGACGGTGTAGTGACAAGTACGTGGGGACGGTGTAGTGACAAGTACGTGGGGACGGTGTTGTGACAAGTACGTGGTGTAGTGCAAGTGTGGGGACGGTGTAGTGACAAGTGGGGACGGTGTAGTGACAAGTACGTGGTGTAGTGACAAGTACGTGGGGACGGTGTAGTGACAAGTACGTGGTGTAGTGACAAGTACGTGGGGACGGTGTAGTGACAAGTACGTGGTGTAGTGACAAGTACGTGGGGATGGTGTAGTGACAAGTACGTGGGGACGGTGTAGTGACAAGTACGTGGTGTAGTGACAATTACGTGGTGTAGTGACAAGTACGTGGGGACGGTGTTGTGACAAGTACGTGGGGACGGTGTAGTGACAAGTACGTGGTGTAGTGACAAGTACGTGGGGACGGTGTAGTGACAAGTACGTGGTGTAGTGACAAGTACGTGGGGACGGTGTAGTGACAAGTACGTGGTGTAGTGACAAGTACGTGGGGACGGTGTAGTGACAAGTACGTGGTGTAGTGGCAAGTACGTGGTGTAGTGACAAGTACGTGGGGACGGTGTAGTGACAAGTACGTGGTGTAGTGACAAGTACGTGGGGACGGTATAGTGACAAGTACGTGGTGTAGTGACAATTACGTGGTGTGTAGTAACAAGTACGTGGGGACGGTGTAGTGACTAGTACGTGGTGTAGTGACAAGTACGTGGTGTAGTGACAAGTACGTGGTGTAGTGACAAGTACGTGGGGACGGTGTAGTGACAAGTACGTGGTGTAGTGACAAGTACGTGGTGTAGTGACAAGTACGTGGTGTAGTGACAAGTATGTGAGGACGGTGTAGTGACAAGTACGTGGGGACGGTGTAGTGACAAGTGGGGACGGTGTAGTGACAAGTACGTGGGGACGGTGTAGTGACAAGTACGTGGGGACGGTGTAGTGACAAGTACGTGGTGTAGTGACAAGTACGTGGGGACGGTGTAGTGACAAGTACGTGGTGTAGTGACAAGTACGTGGGGACGGTGTAGTGACAAGTACGTGGTGTAGTGACAAGTACGTGGTGTAGTGACAAGTACGTGGGGACGGTGTAGTGACAAGTACGTGGTGTAGTGACAAGTACGTGGGGACGGTGTAGTGACAAGTACGTGGTGTAGTGACAATTACGTGGTGTGTAGTAACAAGTACGTGGGGACGGTGTAGAGACAAGTACGTGGTGTAGTGACAAGTATGTGAGGACGGTTTAGTGACAAGTACGTGGTGTAGTGACAAGTACGTGAGGACGGTGTAGTGACAAGTACGTGGGGACGGTGTAGTGACAAGTACGTGGTGTAGTGACAAGTACGTGGGGACGGTGTAGTGACAAGTACGTGGGGACGGTGTAGTGACAAGTACGTGGTGTAGTGGCAAGTACGTGGTGTAGTGACAAGTACGTGGTGTAGTGACAAGTACGTGGTGTAGTGACAAGTACGTGGGGACGGTGTAGTGACAAGTACGTGGGGACGGTTTAGTGACAAGTACGTGGTGTAGTGACAAGTACGTGAGGACGGTGTAGTGACAAGTACGTGGGGACGGTGTAGTGACAAGTACGTGGTGTAGTGACAAGTTCGTGAGGACGGTGTAGTGACAAGTACGTGAGGACGGTGTAGTGACAAGTGGGGACGGTGTAGTGACAAGTACGTGGGGACGGTGTAGTGACAAGTATGTGAGGACGGTGTAGTGACAAGTACGTGGGGACGGTGTAGTGACAAGTTCGTGGTGTAGTGACAAGTACGTGGTGTAGTGACAAGTACGTGGGGACGGTGTAGTGACAAGTACGTGGGGACGGTGTAGTGACAAGTACGTGGTGTAGTGACAAGTACGTGGTGTAGTGACAAGTACGTGGGGACGGTGTAGTGACAAGTACGTGGGGACGGTGTAGTGACAAGTACGTGGTGTAGTGACAAGTACGTGGTGTAGTGACAAGTACGTGGGGACGGTGTAGTGACAAGTACGTGGGGACGGTGTAGTGAGAAGTATGTGAGGACGGTGTAGTGACAAGTACGTGGTGTAGTGACAAGTACGTGGTGTAGTGACAAGTACGTGGGGACGGTGTAGTGACAAGTACGTGGGGACGGTGTATATTAAGCATTCATTGTTATACGGGATGAGGAGTCGAAAATTAATTGAAATATGGGCTGGGGGCAGAGTTTCTTCCAGGCATGTCTTCGGGGGGGGGGGCTTAGCCGCCCCCCGAAATTTTTTTACCGCCCCTCCCCCCCCCCCCCCCCCCGAACGAAATGAAATTTATATAATTTATATAGAAAATATATACTTTTAACAGTTCGCCCCCCCCCCCCCCCCAAGAAAGTCTACCGCCTTCCCGAAAATTTCAAGTACCCCCCCCCCCGGAGAAAAAGTCTGGAAGAAACACTGGCTGGGGGGGGTCAAACATTAATTGTTAGAATAGGATATGGGGGGTCAAACATTAACTGTTATAATAGTATGTGGGGTCGAGGGGTGTCCCTACAGGAGTAATGACCCCCCCCCCCCCCCCCACACCTACAATCCTCCAGAGTTCTCTATCCTGCGCCCATCTCTCCAACTCTTTCAGCTAACCACCAATTTTGCCAGCAGCTTTTAGCGCGGCCATCTTGTTTCGTGATTTTTTTTTTTTTTTGCATGTCTACACGGTGATGTGACTAGAAATTTTTTCTTAAAGATTCACCAATGAGATTACATGAAGCAGATTATGTACTGGACAGAGTGACCAAACCTTCCGGCCAGATGGCCACATTGAAATGTTTTGCCAGGGCCATGGAGGGAGAGAACCTGGAGCCACCTGTGTGGTACAGGAATGGGGAGCTGCTCACTACAGGTGTGTGGGTGTGTGTGTGGGTGTGTGTGGGTGAGGTGTGTGTGTGAGGTGGGTGGTTGAGGTGTGTGTGTGGGTGAGGTGTGTGTGTGTGAGGTCTGTGTGTATGAGATGTGTTTGTGTAGGTGGGTGAGGTGTGTGTGGGTGTGTGTGGGTGTGTGTGGTTGAGGTATGTGTGGTTGAGGTGTGTATATGGGTGAGGTGTGTATAGGTGCGTGGGTATGGTGTGTGGTGTGTGGGTGAGGTGCGTGTGGGTGACGGTGAGGTATATGTGGGTGAGATGTATGTGTGAGGTGTGTGTTTGTGAGGTGTGTGTGGGAGAGGTATATGTGGGTGAAGTGTGTGTGTGAGGTGTGTGTGAGTGTGTGTGTGTGAGGTGTGTGTGGGTGTGTGGGTGTGGTGTGTGTGTGAGGTGTGTGTGGGTGAGGTGTGTGTGTGAGGTGTGTGTGTGTGAGGTGTGTGTGTGTGAGGTGTGTGTGGGTGAGGTGTATGTGTGAGGTGTGTGTGTGTGAGGTGTGTGTGTGTGAGGTGTGTGTGGTTGAGGTGTGTGTGTGGGTGAGGTGTGTGTGTGAGGTGTGTGTGTGTATGAGGTGTGTTTGTGTAGGTGGGTGATGTGTGTGTGTGTGTGGGTGTGTGTGACGTGTGTGTGGTTGAGGTGTGTGTATGTGTGAGGTGTGTATAGGTGTGTGGGTGTGGTGTCTGGGTGAGGTGCGTGTGAGTGACGGTGAGGTATATGTGGGTGAGGTGTGTGTGGGTGTGTGTGATGTGTGTGTGGGTGAGGTGTGTGTATGGGTGAGGTGTGTGTAGGTGTGTGGGTGTGGTGTGTGGGTGAGGTGCGTGTGGGTGTGGTGAGGTATATGTGGGTGTATGTGTGAGGTGTGTGTGGGTGTGGTGTATGTGTGAGGTGTGTGTTTGTAAGGTGTGTGTGGGCGAGGTATATGTGCGTGAGGTGTGTGTGGGTGAGGTATATGTGAGTGAATTGTGTGTGTAAGGTGTGTGTGAGGTGTGTGTGAGGTGTGTGTGAGGTGTGTGTGAGGTGTGTGTGAGGTGTGTGTGAGGTGAGGTGTTTGGGTGTGAGGTGTGTGTGGTTGAGGTGTGTTTATGGGTGAGGTCTGTGTGGGTGAGGTGTGTGTGTGAGGTGTGTGTGTGTGAGGTGTGTGTTGGTGAGGTGTGTGTGGGTGAGGTGTTTGGGTGTGAGGTGTGTGTGGTTGAGATGTGTGTGTGAGGTGTGTGTGGGTGAGGTGTGTTTATGGGTGAGGTCTGTGTGGGTGAGGTGTGTGTATGGGTGAGGTGTGTGTGTGTCAGGTGTGTGTGTGTGAGGTGTGTGTGTAAGGTGTGTGTGGGTGAGGTGTGTGTGGGTGAGGTGTTTGGGTGTGAGGTGTGTGTGGTTGAGATGTGTGTGTGAGGTGTGTGTGGGTGAGGTGTATGTAGGTGTGTGGGTGTGGTGTGTGGGTGAGGTGCGTGTGGGTGAGGTGTGTCTGGGCGAGGTATATGTTGGTGAGGTGTGTTTGGGTGAATTGTGTGTGTAAGGTGTGAGGTGTGTGTGTGTGAGGTGTGTGTGAGGTGTGTGTTAGGTGTGTGTGTGTGAGGTGTGTGTGAGGTGTGTGTGAGTTCTGTGTGTGTGAGGTGTGTGTGAGGTGTGTGTGTGTGGTGTGTGTGAGTTTTTTATGAGGTGTGTGTGTGAGGTGTGTGTGAGGTGTGTGTGAGTTGTGTGTGAGTTGTGTGTGAGGTGTGGGTGTGAGTGAGGTGTGTGTGTGAGGTGGGTGTGAGGTGTGTGTGAGTTGTGTGTGAGGTGTGTGTGTGTGAGGTGTGTGTGAGGTGTGTGTGTGAGGTGTGTGTGAGGTGTGTGTGTGTGTGGTGTGTGTGAGTTTTGTGTGAGGTGTGTGTGTGAGGTGTGTGTGTGTGTGTGTGAGTTTTGTGTGAGGTGTGTGTGTGTGTGTGAGTTGTGTGTGAGTTTTGTGTGAGGTGTGTGTGTGAGGTGTGTGTGAGGTGTGTGTGTGTGAGGTGTGTGTGAGGTGTGTGTGTGTGAGGTGTGTGTGTGAGGTATGTGGGGTGAGGTGTGTGTGAGTTGTGTGTGTGTGAGGTGTGAGGTGTGTGTGAGGTGTGTGTGGGTGAATTGTGTGTGTGAGGTGTGAGGTGTGTGTGTGTGAGGTGTGAGGTGTGTGTGAGGTGTGTGTGAGGTGTGTGTGTGAGGTGTGTGTGGGTGAGATGTGTGTGTGAGGTGTGTGTGGGTGTGGTATATGTGTGAGGTGTGTGTGGGTGAATTGTGTGTGTGAGGTGTGAGGTGTGTGTGTGTGAGGTGTGAGGTGTGTGTGAGGTGTGTGTGTGAGGTGTGTGTGTGAGGTGTGTGTGGGTGTGGTGTATGTGTGAGGTGTGTGTGAGGTGTGTGTGTGAGGTGTGTGGGGTGATGTGTGTGTAGGTTAGGTGTGTGTGTGAGGTGTGTGGGGTGAGTGTGTGGGTGAGGTATATGTGTTTGAGGTGTGTGTGTGAGGTGTGTGTGTGCGGTGTGTGTGGGTGAGGTGTGTGTGGGTGATGTGTGTGTGTGAGGTGTGTGTGGGTGAGATGTGTGTGTGAGGTGTATGTTGGTTTGAGGTGTGTGTTAGAAGTGTGTGTTAGAAGAGGTGTGTGTGTGAGTTATGTGTATGTTGTATGTGAGGTATGTGTGTGTGTGTGGGTGTGGGTGTTGTGTATGCTGTCATTCTGTGTGTGGGTGTTGTGTTGTGTGTTGTGCGGGGTAAGTTTTGTGTGTTGTTGTCGTGAGTCGGGTGAGCTTAACAACACCCCCCCCCCTGAATATTTCAAGCCACCCCCCTCCCCCCCCAAAGAAATAAGTGAAGGAAACACTGCTCAACAAGCGCAGTTGATTAAAGAACCCACTACCATACCTGTGGCACTACAATACCTGTGGCATTTAAAGAACCCACTACCATACCTGTGGCATTTAAAGAACCCACTACCATACCTGTGGCATTTAAAGAACCCACTAATCTACTTGTTGCATATAAACAACCCACTACCATACCTGTGGCAGTTAAATAACCCACTACCATACCTGTGGCAGTTAAAGAACCACTACCATACCTGTGGCAGTTAAATAACCCACTAATCTACCTGTGGCAGTTAAATAACCCACTACCATACCTGTGGCAGTTAATGAAACCACTACCATACCTGTGTCAGTTGGTTAAAGAACCCATTACCAGACCTGTTTCAAACTACGATTTGTATGGTGACGAGAGTCTCTGTGTTTAGCACCATAACTGTGGCGCTCAGTGCTCAGTTTTTTAATCCATCAGACAACTTGCCAGACAAAACCAGGTACAGTTTTGGTGCTCGTGACACCCGAGCTGACCCATCAGGAACCTGAACAAGTCTACAGACACCGCCTGCTTCCAGTGTAACATCAGCAACAGTGAAGGCTACATCTTTTATGACGGTTTCCTCAAGGTCGTAGGTAAGATAATGCTATCATTTGTGATATTTACACTATAAATACTCAACACACACACACACACACACACACACACACACAACACAAACACACACACACACAACACACACACACACACACACACACACACACACACACACACACACACACACACACACACACACACACACACACACACACACCACACACACACACACACACACACACACACACACACACACACACACACACACACACACACACACACACACACACACACACACACACACACACACACACACACACACACACCACACACACACACACACACACACACACACACACACACACCACACACACACACACACACACACACACACACACACACACACACACACACACACACACACACACACACACACACACACACACACACACACACACACACACACACACACACACACACACACACACACACACACACACACACACACACACACACACACACACACACACACACACACACACACACACACACACACACACACACACACACACACACACACACACACACACACACACCACACACACACACACACACCACACACACACACACACACACACACACACACACACACACACACACACACACACACACACACACACACACACACACACACACACACACACACACACACACACACACACACACACACACACACACACACACACACACCCACACACACACACACACACCACACACACACACACACACACACACACACACACACACACACACACACACACACCACACACACACACACACACACACACACACACACACACACACACACACACAACACACACACACACACACACACACACACACACACACACACACCACACACACACACACACACACACACACACACACACACACACACACACACACACACACACACACACACACACCACACACACACACATATATATATAATTTTATAATATATACCATCTGTTAAACAATTTCTGCTCGCTGTTTTACGGGTGAACTAATCTTTAACCGCTCCTCCCCACTAATCTCTGACCCCCCCTCCCCACTAATCTCTAACCCCTCCTCCCATAGCCCCTCCTCCCACTAATCTCTAACCCCTCCCCCCCACTAATCTCTAACCCCCTCCTCCCCTAGCCCCTCCTCCCCTAACCCCTCCTCCCCACTAATCTCTAACTCCTCCTCCCACTAATCTCTACCCCTCCTCCCCTTACTCCTCCTCCCCACTAATCTCTAACCCCTCCTCCCCCACTAATCTCTAACCCCTCCTCCCCTTACTCCTCCTCCCTACTAATCTCTAACCCCTCCTCCCCACTAATCTCTAACCCCTCCTCCCCTTACTCCTCCTCCCCACTAATCTCTAACC